AGCTTCATCCGGAAGGTCGTCCAGAAGGACATCTGGTCTAATTAGCATATTATGCTTTTATTAGTATAGATACTAGAGGCCCAGTGCACGGATTTGTGCATCGGTGGGGTACCTCGGCCTGGCCTGCGCCCTCTCGCAATCCAGGACCCCTCGGGGGATGTCGGACTGCTGGTTTCAGCCCGATCCCCGCAGGGCCTCTAGTATGCATATAAGATCTTTGGTTAATCTCTTCCAGCCCTCCCCCCTTTCTCCTCCCCTCTAAAATTCATCAGTCTGTTCCATGTTTCCATGCCTGTGTGTTAAGCATCTGCCCCCTGGTGGTCAGTGCATGTCATAGCTACCGAACAGTCGAAGGGTCACTTAGGCTTTTATATACGTAGATTAGTGCCTTCACTTCTTACATTCCAAAGGTAGGCCTCTGAAAGAAGTCAATCCTACACCAATAATTCCACCAGGTTTGTGGTCTGATATTTCAGATTCTTTTTTTTTTGGTATAGTTAATGTGACCTGATCAGTGTACACTGCTTATTAAGTACCACTTTCTGCTGATATATGGGAGAAAAGAAGATGTTTAAAAAGAAAGAGAAAGAGAGAAAACCTGATTTCTGACCATACGCCAAAGCATATTAAAATCGTATCTGTTGAGAAGGTATATGCTCTAACCCCACTGGCTTTTTAACAATTTCTAAAACCCTGAGATACCTCCCTCTGTAGGCTTTAGAACATTCTTCTCTACCTGTTTTAACACTCCCAGCCTCTTCTGACTTTGACATAAGCATCATTTTCTCAAAGCCTCCTGATGTCTCCAGTGTATGTCAGGCTTCTAGTTACGCTCTCTCACAGAACCACACTCTTCTCTTTTAAGGAACTTACTGTGTAATTATATGTTCATTAGAGTTATTGTATGATTAACAACTGCCTTCCTCACTAGCCTGTGAATTCCAAAAGTTCAGGTACTTTTGTGTCTGGTCTCGTTATTTTATCTGGAGCATCTAGCTAAGTGCCTGGCTTGTAGCTGAAACTCAATTAATATATATATAGAGAGAGAGAGAGAATATGAAAGCATTAGAATGAATGAATATGAATATATCACTTTTAAAGGCTTGGGTAACTTAAACATTTCTTCTTACTACAAATCTGTAGTATTTAGTCTTTATGAAAATATAATAATAGTGTCAAAGAAAAATTTGAAAGTAAAAAATTCACCCTATGCTAAGACAGCAGCTATTGGGTAACTTAAACATTTCTTCTTACTACAAATCTGTAGTATTTAGTCTTTATGGAAAATATAATAATAGAGTCAAAGAACAATTTGAAAGTGAAAAATTCACCCTCTGCTAAGACAGCAGCTATTTTTTTCCTGTAGTTTTCTTCTAATCTTTGTCCAAATGCATATTTTTATGAAATATAATTATTCGTGACATTAAAGGACAAAAATTAGAAATAAAATTTTAAAAAATACTATGAATGACTATATTCCAACAAACTGGACAACCTGGATGAAATGGACATATTCTTAGAAAAATACAATCTTTCAAACTCAATCAGGAAGAATCAGAAAGCCTGAATAGGCTGTTAATTACTGATGAAATTAAAACAATAATAAAAAAGTCCCAACAAACAAAAGCCCTGGTCTGGATGGCTTCACAGGGGAGTTTTACCAAACATTCAAAGAAGAACTAACCTATCCTCCTCAGACCATTCCAAAAAAGTCAAGAGGAAGGGACATTTCCAAGCTCTCTTTATGAGGCCAGCATTATGTTAATCCTAAAACCAGATAAAGACACTACAAAGAAAGATAATTACAGGCCAATATCTCTGATGAACATAGATGCTAATATTCTGAAGAAAATATTAGCAAATTGGATCCAGCAATACATTAAAAAGATCATACACTATGAGCAAGTGGGATTTGTTCCAGGCATGCAAGGCTGGTACAATATTTGCAAATCAATAAATGTGATATATAACATAAACAGATTGGAAGACAAAAATCACATTATCATAGCAGTTGATGCAGAAAAATCAATCAATAAAATCCAACACCCTTTTTTGATAAAAACGCTCAGCAAAATGGGAATAGAGGAATCATGCCTCAACATAATAAAGGCCATATATGACAAACCTATAGCCAACATTAGACTCAATGGGCAAAAACTAAAACCATTTTCCCTAAGAACAGGAACAAGACAATGATGTCCACTTTCCTTACTCTTTTTTGAAAAAAATTTACTTTATTGATTTTTTACAGAGAGGAAGGGAGAGGGATAGAGAGTTAGAAACATCGATGAGAGAGAAACATCGATCAGCTGCCTCCTGCACACTCCCCACTGAGGATGTGCCCGCAACCAAGGCACATGCCCTTGACTGGAATCGAACCTGGGACCCTTGAGTCCACAGGCTGATGCTCTATCCACTGAGCCAAACTGCTTAGGGCTTGACTAATTTATTAACAATAGTGTTCTAGGAATGACTGTCTCAAAATTTACATTTGGATTTATTGAACTGAACAGGATATAGTTGGGGCTGAGGAGAAATACGACATTCATTCATCTAGAGTTCTCAATATGCAGTAGGAATATAGGCAAAGGGATGAAGGGGAAACTGTATCTATTAACCAACATGCCTACTGGACTAAGTATAAACAGTAACAGTATTCTGTAGAACCCTATAGAGCCCCGACAGGCTGTTTTGCAAATGGAACAGGCTTTGTGAGTTACTGATGTTGCATACACTCTAAACTTGTGAGCTATTATTTATAAATCTAGTTCTTCCCCTACTCTGCCCCAATTCTGTCATCTCCAAATCTCAGAAAACCTTCACCCCGTAACAAGGCCCTTTTCCCAACAGCAATCAAAGACCATATAAAGTAAGGAAAAGGTCCAGACCCAGCTCTAGCTGTTTGATTTGGGGTAAATCATTTCCCCCTCTGGGCCTGTTTCCTCATTTGCTAATTTTTGTTTCTCTTAAGTTCCTTCCGGTTCTGTAATTCTGTATTTCTAATTGTTGCCATAACTAGAAACTTTATTAAAGTTATTTTACTAAGACCCAGAAAAGACTGTTTAAAAGTCTCCCAATTCTGTCTTTGCTCATGATTTTCATGATTTTCCTTAAATCTGGAATCCCTTCTTTATTCCCACAGGTCCATTTTCTACCCCTCCTTCAAAGCCCAGTTCAGCTCTTCCCTCATTTCCAATGCTGAGCTTAACCTCTCCGCTCAGTGGAATGCTCACAGCACTCTTAAAACACTGATCACTTCTGACTCCAAAGTTACAGTGTATAAGGCTGCTCTTCTCCAAGCAAATTATAAGTGTGCTGTGGGCAGGGACTATTTCTGATCCTTCTTTGTATTCCCACAGGATCCAGTCCAGCTCCTGGGACACAATAAATATTGCTGAGTAGATGAATAAAATGGAAAGCCATTTGATTAGAGTTTCCACACTTCCACTCATATTACCCTAATACGTAGGGTACTATTACTATTATTAATCCTTTCCCTCTATTTAACATGTGTGTGTGTGTGTGTGCAGATTGCATATTAAGAATTCTACGGCTTCAACAAAAGTCCCGCAAATTTGTTTTATTGTGAAGATTAGATTGCTTAAATATTTTTGAAAACTCCTGAATTAAACTTGTTGCAAATAGCAAATAATAGCTTCTTTGTCGCTTGCTGGGTGTGCCTCCTTAAAGGGACTTGGTTTTACCTTGATGTTTCCTTGAAGACAATGCTCTAAATCCCTGCCAGAAGGATCATCGGTGAACAAGGCAAATCCAGACTGGGCTGGCTTCCTCATTCCTGTATCCTGGTTCAAAGTGTTCAGAAATTCTTCCACTGTGGTGGATGCATCAAATCCAACGACCTAAACAGAAATAACAAAGTTGTTCTCCAAATGAAAAAGTATATACATTTCAAACTTAGATTTCAGGGGGGAAACAGGACATACTTGATGCACGATTAATGGTGACAGCTGTAAGCATATAAAGCATATATAACTCCTTCTCCCCCCCAAAGCACCACTGGAGAAATTAATGCTGTCTTAGTCATTAGCTTGCTGTAAGAATTCAGAAATCTTGGCTTCAGCCAACTGAATTAAAAAGAGGCAGATCATTTGACAGCTGTAAACATTTTGCAGTGATATTAGGCCTACCCATTAAAAGCAAACCAAGAAAGACAGTGCACTATGTAATCTACAAGCAAATGAAAAAAATAAACAAGAAATGTACTTAAAACAAATGAACTTTTATGCATTTAATGTTTGTTTCTTTAATATGCAGCTAAGTATCTGAATCCTATGATAAAAGGCATATGGCTGCAAAGACTAATTGCTAGCTTTGGAACATGTTTGCTTCACTTAATAAGCGAACATCTAGATCTGAGAGTTGGGAGGGCTCACATAAGCTTTCCAAGATAATTCCTGAGATTTGGAGACTTTTGCAGTGGTTCTCGACCTTCCTAATGCTGCGACCCTTTAATACAGTTCCTCATGTTGTGGTGACCCCCAACCATAAAATTATTTTCGTTGCTACTTCATAACTGTAATTTTGCTACTGTTATGAATCATAATGTAAATATCGGATATGCAGGATTTATTTTCAGGGGTCGCGACCCACAGGTTGAGAACCGCTGCTTTAAAGCGACTGAGCTTGTACACACCCAATGTTAGTAATTATTTCCTCACCTAGCAGGCACACTGGTGACCTCAACCAAAGTCGTTTTGTTTTTTCGTGTGAATCCTTTTTATTTAGCAAAGCTGTTTAAAAAATGCAGCAGTTCTGATAGAAGATCTAATTTATTTGCGAGTTTATCACTGCCAGCTGCTGACAAAGGTAGGTGTACAGTCTCATTTCTCTGTTGCCCAGAGGTCACACACAGGACTTCAGGCTCAGCATGTTTTCTTCAGGGTAGAAAGTCTAACTCACCTGATAGATCCCATTCATGAAGTGCACAGGGATACTGAAGGGCAAAGAGTGATGATAAGGATTTCGAAGAAGGGTCGAAAGGATTTCCATTCTTGAGGGTCTGGCTTCCCGATCTCCATTTTGTTGTGTTCTTTCTACACATCGCTGGCAATAAATGGCATATTTTCCAAATTCTGTCCTATAACACAAAACTTAAGATAAAGCCTAAGAATAAATTTAATTAAGACAACCTAATAGCTATGAAGTCATTAAGAAAGCTTTCCTTGGTGTATATTGTTACAATGTATTATGCTAATGTTGACAGTAATGTTTCTTTTAGCATGATATTATTAAGCCTCTGTAACTTTTCCCATTCTTTGGGCGATTTGTCACTGATCGCAACTCAAGTCACACGATCTCGATTACAGAGTCCCCAAAATGTATTATGAACTGGGGAATATTTTTCTGCTGCTTCCAAGTTGTTTTTTTGTCTCATTGTGCTTGTTTGTTTGTTTATCTGAGTTTCAGGGCTTATTGAAGCAACCTGGCATCAACTTCTTGGACAAAATGATCCTGATAACCCTTGGCTGGCTGCCTTGGGTCCCAATGTAAAAAGCCATTGTGACAGTTGGATTGTAAATGTCTTTTTTCCAGGAAATAAAAATTCCGAAGTAATTCAAATACACACGGGGAAAACCATCAGGGGCATTTTCCACATAAAACAATTCAATATGGAGAAAAACAGTAATAGGGAAAACTAAGGAAGCAAAGTAGTTGCTGTTATAACGATAACAAATGCTAAGTCATTCATCCTTGAAATACACACAGACTTTTCACTTAAAAATAGTCTTTATCAGGTTTCAAGAGCTCACTGCAATCTTCCATGAGAGATTTAACATAGTAAAGGAAATATTTCTCAAGCTCCACGTAAATGGTAACCAAAGGTTCTCTGTACCAACATTTGTTTCACACATTCTCTACCTGGCAGGTTACTAAATACTTAGGGTTTGTTGTAGACTTTCAGAGGCCACATAAACGGTTCAGCCGGCTAGTTTTCTGCACACCTGGAATCTGCATTCCTCTTAAGGTGGAGCCTGAGAAGCCACAGGAAAGGATGATGGGGAAGGAAGAGCCCAACACAGAGCGCCAAGAGCTGCCAGGCCTGGCAAAGAGAAACAGCGTTAGGTTAGACGCCACGTGGCAGTCCCAGATCCAAGTGAGAACCAGTGTGACCGACAGACGTTGATAGTCTTTCTTCCTTTTTTCCCCCAAGGTTTTCTTTAGTTTAGTAGTTTGTAGCCTTTCTTGATCCCAAATGTGTTTGCTTCTTCCACATATAGATTATCTTCTCAGAGCAATTATAATCCATAAAAACATTTAAAAGGCCACATTGGGTCAGATCCATAATCTATCTAGTTATGTATATAGTTGTCTACAACTGAGATACTAAAAGACATGTAGATATATAATAATCCTTTTGACATCAAAGATTAGGAACATTGCTCCTTTTTTGTTCATTTATGTATTTACTCATTAATGGAAATAGAAGCAATGGCTTTGAGAAAGGACTGAAAAATAGTAAAAAATCATATACCCCAAAACCAAACCAAAATACCCACACATACTTACACATATACATACATATATAAGGGACAAATATAGAAATAACAGAGATTAGGTAATATGAATTATGTGTGCATATACATACATATATAAGGGACAAATATAGAAATAATAACAGAGATTAGATAATAGGATTATATGTAACTTTTCCTTTTCCTTTGCTCTGTTCTGTATTATTTTATTTTTTTCCATTAAGCAAGTGTAGCTTCATTACTTTTTAAACTGTTATATTAAAAAGGAGGAGGAGACCTGTACACAATTCACTGGACTTGTACACAAGAATTAGGTTCAAAGATGTATACTGCACAGGTATTTATTATAAGAAAAAGAATTGGAAAAACCTACATGGATAGTAATTGATATTAATGCAATCATTAATGTTTTGAAGAAAGTTGCAGAATATAGGGGGAAAATGATTATGTTCTATAGTTTTAAAAAATTAGTATGCACACTGTAACCCTAGTAACGTGAAAAATGTGAGAGCATATAAACACATACACATACATTTCTACAGAAACATGTAAATAAACTGAAAGGATATACATCAAAACATGAATAGCTATTTTCCCTTTTCACACTTTTTGTATTTTCCAGTGTCTACACTGAATATGCATCATTCTTACAATCAAGACAGCAACCTCATTTTAAATTGCGTGTATGTGTATCACTATATACCTGCAACGGTCCTGGTTGGCTCTGTGGCTGTCTCCGTCTTGTCTGTTTAATGAGCTGACAGCAAATTTCATTCTGTAGCTCAGGATGTGTCAGGCAGATCTGCAAAGCACTCTGGGCTAGCGATACGTGGTAATCAATTGCAGGGGAGTCAACTGCGGCATTGATAAAAAGCTGGCAGGTCTGGATTAAGAAAAAGGTACAGTCAAGGTGAGGAATGATTCAATATTCTGCGTGAATTATGTTGATTCTCTTCTTAACAATGGTTTTTTCTCCAAATGGATGGAAAAGATATATTATGGTAAGACTAATCAAAAGCAATCCAGAGTGGCTACATTAATAGCCGACAAAGTGTATTTCAGAGCCAGGAATTCTGCCAGAGATAAAGAGGGTCACTTTATAATAATAAAGGAGCCAGTTCATCTAGAAGACATAACAATTTTAAATGATTATGTGCTTAATAAAATATATGAAGCAAAAACTGATAGGACCGTAAGGAGAAATAGACAAATGCACAATTATAGTTGGAGATTCCAAATACTCCTCTCTCAATAATTGAGAAAACAAGCAGATGGAAAATCAGTAAGGATTTAGAAAACTTGAACAATACTATCAACCAACTTGACTTAATTGACACTTACAGAACACTCCATCTAAGAGCAGAATATGCATTCATTTTAAGGGTATACAGAACATTAATCATCTCCTGTCCCCTATAAGCTTCATAAGGACAGAAACTGTGCCTTATTTATCTTTTTTATTCTCTACACAGCATAGAGTGACAAAGCAAAGGTTTAATGAATGAATGGATTTAAAATCTGATTAAATAAACATAGTATCTATTAAGAAACATTAAAGTGTTCATAAACACCAATGGATGGTTTTAATATTGTGTCATTATACGGTAGGTAGTCGTTATCTCTTCTAAGAACAGATATGATCAAATAAATTTAGCCTCTAACCAAAAGCATTGCTGCCAAAGAACTTCATCATAAAATGATCAATGAAAAAAGATTTCCACCATTAACTTTTATCATGTTAAGAAAGTATCACTATTTTATGAACGTTAAACTTGTCAAATGCGTTTTTAGCATTTACAGAGATGATTGTCTACTTAATAATAATATTAATAGACATCTAATATATAGACATCCTGAATTTCCTGTAACAAATCTCTTTTAGTCATGATATAGTATTCTTGTAATATGATGCTGGATTCTGTTTATTAATATTTTACTAGTTTTTGCATGAAATGCTCTGTTTTGTACAATTGTTTCTGGGGTTTGGTTCCAAGTAATACTTCACAAAGAGAATCTGGTGATATGACCATTGAGAACTGCTTCAAATATTCCAATGTTGGGAAGCAGTGGGGATGGGGAGACTAAAACAAAACTGGCCATGTCTTGGTGCTATGGAGCTGAGTGATGAGTACCTTGGACCTCATATTTTCTCTACTCATATGTTTGAAATTTTCCAAAATAAAGAGTAAAAAAAAAACACACACACACAAGAATTTGGGAAATTTCTTTCTTTTTCTATGAACTGAAATTACCTACACTTTAAAAGTTTGGTAAATTTTCCTGTTTAAATTTTCATTCTCATGTGGATTTAGTTTTGGCCATTTATATTTTATTATAAAGTCGATCACTTCATTCAGATTTTCAAATATATTTCTGTAGAGTCTTTCTTGTTTTCAGTAGTTGTGTATTCTACAGGTGGGTTTTTAAAAATGTTCCATTATGGTAATATTAAATCATAAACAAAAGTAGAGAGAATAGTATAATGATTACTCATGCACTCATCACCAAGCAACAACAATTAGCATTTTGCTAAACTTGTTTCATTCAATCTCCACTCTACTTTTTTTTTCTGGAGTATTTTAATATACATATATATTTATATCATGATTTTTACCAATAAATACTTCAGTATGGATGTACAATTGATAAATTTTCCCCCATAACCACCATGTTATATCATACCCCCCCAAACGAACAATAATTCTTTGATATTATCTAATAAGCAGATGACTTCGCACAAATTTTTGTGTACCGGGCCTCTAGTTTTATTATAAAGTCGATCACTTCATTCAGATTTTCAAATATATTTGTGTACAATCTTTCTTGTTTTCAGTAGTTGTGTATTCTATGGGTGGGTTTTAAAAAATGTTCCATTATGGTAATATTAAAACATAAACAAAAGTAGAGAGAATAGTATAATTATTACTCATGCACTCATCACCAAGCAACAACAATTATTAGCATTTTGCTAAACTTGTTTCATTCAACCTCCACTCTACTTTTTTTTCTGGAGTGTGTAGTGTTTAATGTTCTCTAGCAGTGCACATGTGATTAACATGGCAGCAGACAAGAAAGCAGCACTGATCTAGGTTGGGGGTTAGCTGGAAAGTTCATGGAATTATGGGTCCCTAGGAACTATGAGTATTAATGAAAGTAATCTAGGCTGGAATAAGAAGGAAGAATAGCCAAGAGGAAGTTATCATGCTCTCTCTTGATCTCCAAGAAAATAAATGGCTCCAAACAAAGGTCTTAGTGAGGAATGAAAAATGGAAGAGTAGGAAACTAAGAGCTCACAGGCTAAGAGAATATGGTTAAAGAAAGAGATATCAGAATTTAAACTTTTAGAGGTGGTGTACTTCTAAGGAACGGAGAGGTCAGGGTGTGGACGTGGAGAACGGGAAGGTGAAATAGACTAGAGGTGAAGCTTACTGGCATTAAGAAGGTCAGGAATCTTAGAGCATTGCATTGGTGCATCAAGTAATAATGAGGTCATTCAGCATAATGGCAAGATCTGAGGCAGAAAGAGTGTGAGTTGGGAGCCAAAATCCTTAATGAAATTTGAAAAGTTGGCAGAAGCTGATTAATGACAGAGATGGGATAAGAGTGATATAGTTGAATGACAAGTTTCAAGTGCTCAGGGGTTTCTAATAGGACCTGAATGATAAGAATTTGAGAGTAGCACTGGAGAAGACGGGTGCTGACCCTCTCCCAACACCGGTGAGGTGTGATGTGAGAAATCCCTCCGCTTGAGAGGTGAATGGGACATGATTCTTCTGAGATTACGTGTTTCACACTGCTCAAACCACACACAGTTTATTTCAATAAATCCCAGATTCTCACTTGGAAAGCATATTAAATTCACCTCATTTTATTTCAGTAGACTTTCTTAGTAACAATAACCACAGTTTGAATTTTCTTGGGAAAAGTGAAACTTTATATACCTAAATTGTTCATTTTTTCAAATTAAAATGTTAATAACATATAACGTTCTTGGGAAAAGTGAAACTTTATATACCTAAATTGTTTATTTTTATTTTTTCAAATTAAAATGTTAATAACATATAACACCATATGAATTTTTACCTTAAATAATTTAATAGCCTCTGTCTGTAGAGCTTCAGAAGGCAGTGTTGTCAGAGGGGAAACAATTCCTTCCTTGCTGTGACACAAAGTAGGATGTCTCCATATCTGAGAGGCTAAATGCAGGGTAAAATACAATTAGAAAACAGAAAGAATCACTTATTTTGGCCTCCCATTTATTAGCCCTTTATAGAAATTAGCTAACTTGGCCTGGCTCACAACTTTAAGTCATAAAGGTCATGAAAAAAGCTTTGGCAACATTATTTCATTTCATTTTCCTGGCCATGGGGGATTCTCATGTCTCTGTTTTGGAGAAATTAAATCTAGAAGACTTTGGTCTTAATATTCTTGGCTGAAACAAGTCTACCAGGGCACTATGATGTTGCTCAGATGTGCTAAAGATTGGGGACCCAGGTGGGGAGATGATTATACATGAGAAAGCTGCAGAAAGATCTAGAAAGGAGAAACCAAGTAGGAGGAGATAGAATGATAAAGAAGAACTTGAAGTCATTCTTAACATCAACATTTATTAAATCCCTATGCTGGGTACTCAGAATAAAATGTGATCTCTGTAATTAAATAAAGCATAACACAGAGTCTAGACTCTCAATGGGGAAACCTGAGCCATAAAAAATAATTTCAATGCAAAGGAACAAATGCTATGAAGTAGTTAAAAGGCAAAGTGCACTGGGACGTAATTTTAACACTTATTAAGAACCTTTTATGAGCCAGATGCTGAGCTGGAGTGGGCTGGCGGGGGGACCTTCTGAGGTAGGCAGGATTTTATCAGGTTGGTGAGGAATGTGAGGAAGGGGGGCACTTCAGGCAGAGGGGTATTGTCAGCAAAGGCAGAGGTGTCACAGGACATGGAATTTGGGTGAATGATGGTGTCCCTGGAGTCTAGGAACCACAGTGAGAATCCTGGTGCATGACAAGCAAAGCCAGTGAAATGGTGGGTAGCTTGCAGGGAAAGGAACTTACAAAGTAAAACTCCATTAGGCTAAGGGGGTTTGGGTGCATTTCATAAACCACAGAGCCTTATATGTTATGAACTTACAAGGTTCTCCTTCAATATTTAGCAATTTACAAACGAGTTGTTCAAATTCAGATCCAACATTTACAGTGTTACTTCCAGCTGCAACGGTCAGGTGATAAAGCCAAGTGTCCTTAAAAACAAAACATATGAATAGAAATGTTAACCAGTATATAATTTTTGGCGATTTAAGGAAAAAAAACCAACTTGCATAAACAATGGAAAACTTCTAAAAAAACAAAACCTCTTTAATTTTTAAATAATAATTAAAAGCAAGCCACGTATTCAAACAGTTCTGAAGTAGGGTCACTTGAATTGTGCTCATAGTACTTTTCCCACTGTTCTATAGATGTTGCTTAGAAAAACATGATAAAATTAAAGTAATATAACGTTAAGAGACTAGAATAAATACAACCAGTTAATATTCCTTTAAGAAATACAATAAATTCTACCACATTTAAAATCTGACTCCCAATGCATACAAATAACACATACAAAATACTTAGGAAATCCAGAAAATTTTAAAAAGAAAATAATACCGAGAACAAACTTACCTCAATACAATAAGGGCCATATAAGAAAAGCCCACAGATAATATCATACTCAATAGTGAAAAAATGGAAAGCTTTTTCTCTAAGACCTAGAACAAGGCAAAGATGCCTGTTCTTGCCACTTCTGTTCCAATTTTATGTAGTCAAGTCTATCACCCATTTCTACTGTGTTTCTTACATTGCCTTTTTTTTTCTTTTTTAGAAAGTACTTTCTATTCCAAGATCAGATAAAGGCTCTTTTAAAAAATTGTTTCAGCCGAACCGGTTTGGCTCAGTGGATAGAGCGTTGGCCTGCGGACTCAAGGGTCCCGGGTTCGATTGGACTCAGGGGTCCCAGGTTCGATTCCGGTCAAGGGCATGTACCTTGGTTGCGGGCACATCCCCACTGGGGGGCGTGCAGGAGGCAGCTGATCGATCTCTCTCATTGATGTTTCTAGCTCTCTATCCCTCTCCCTTCTTCTCTGTAAAAAATCAATAAAATATATTTTTTTTAAAAATTGTTTCATTTAACTCTTTAAATTCATCTGGAAATTATTTTGCTATATGTGTGAGATGACAAACTAAACTAATGTTTTCCTAGATAGCCAATTTCCTCAATATATAATGAACACAAAATATTATATATTGAATAATCCATTACTTCCCCATTCATTGTGATGCCTCTTTTATTTTTTTATTATATTAACTTTTATATTTTCATATGTGACTACATATATAATAATAGTTGACTTTCAATTTTATCTAAACCAAAATTTTGTTGAAAATGAGTCAAAATTATAAGGTTGGAGGCCTTAAGATTCACCCCCCAAAAAATCCAGTCTGAGACATTCACATTTTGAACATAATGTTCTTTTATCCTATACCTGCACTAATTTCAACTGGAGAGCACTTTTATCAATAAGATTGAAAAATGACACATTTAAACAAGGCTTGTTTCCAGGGATGTAAAGAATCTCTGTAAATAGAGCTGAAAGTCTTTAGCAACGTTTTCTTCCTTGTTTCCATGAAAATGATTTGAAAAATCATTAGCAGTAGTTAATAACATTAAACTACATCATTCTAAATCAACCATTAAGTCCTTACATACCTTTTCATGCTTGGACCCAATCAGGAGGTAAGTGGGACCTTGGTCTTTGGGGTGGATCACGACGGTGTAATGTGTGGATAACAGACTTCGCCCACTGGCTTCATAATCTTCATCTGAATCACAGGATCTGTCAACCTCTTCAACTTTAGCCTCCCAGAGTTTGATCTGACCTAAAGGCAACTAAAGTAAATATTAGTAATTGTGAGGAAGGCACTTTCTAAATCTTTTCCTAGTAAAATTTTTCATATTCCTTTTCATTCTTACCTTTATAAAGCATACCGTTTCTTAAATGAATGCCTAAAGGCAATTGGATTATCCGTAGTTATGAAAGTAGTAGTCACCACCAAAATACCCAATTGCAATATGAAAGAACAATTTGAATACTAGGCATTTACCTTTTGTGGAAAAAGCAAGAAGCTACTTTACTTAGTCAAGCAATGATGTAACTCAGTCAAAACATTCATTTGACTCCTCCCCCCAACCCCCAAATTGAGGCATTTACCTTTTGTGGAAAAAGCAAGAAGCTACTTAGTCAAGCAATTATATAACTCAGTCAAAACATTCACTTGACTCCTCCCCCCAACCCCCAAATTAATTTGATTAAGATACTGGATCAAAAGGACAAGTGTAGACATAGTCTCAACACTATTTATAGAAAAGTAACACAATTAGGTAGCTGGTACAAAGAAGTGTGATTAACTATCATCCTAAACCACAATAAAATGAGTAGTGTTCTGAGAGGGTATTTATTAACAGACATAATACAAAACAATGCTCTGATTTCTTCCATCTTAATATAAGGGTAAGAAAAACTTCTTAAAACTGATGCATATTAAAATTTACCTACTCGTTTGTTGACAAAAACAACTATATCTGTTGTGTTGAATATCCAGCATATTTGTTCTAAAACTTTTGCTTTAATTAAGTATATTTATTCCAGGGAAATACAGTCTGCTTCTGATTTGCAGCTTCTAAAATGTCTGATCAGGTTTGCAACTGCAATCTAAAAATATTCATTCTGACTCCCAGAAGAACATTTACCATCGTACATGTTCATGCTCAGCCCGGGGCTCAGTGCTCGGACCCTTTTCCATCCACATTCACATGGGTGATCTCATCCATGCTCATGGCTTTAGTACCAGCATATATTAGCTACGCCTGCATTTATAACGCCAGACTCGCTAGTTGTACTTAGACGTCTAAGAGTATCTCAAACTTAATTTGGTAAGTCCTCTCCCACAACCTGACCTGGGCAGTGTCCCCCATCTCAGTTGTTGGTAACTTCATCTTTCCAGCTACTTACGCCAAAAACCTTGGCATCGTTCCTGACTCTATTCTTTCTCTTCTATCCCATACCTTTTCAGTGAACAATTCCAGTCAGCAAGCTTTTCAGAATGTATTCAGAGTCTGGTCACTTCTCACACCTCCACTGCCACCAGTTAACCATAGTCATCCTTTACCTGGATTACTGTAATAGCCCCCTAACTAGTCTCCTCCTTATTCCCTCAGACAGCTACTAGAGTGTTCCGTTAGTCATAAGTTAGATCATGTCAATGTTCTGATCAAAAAACTCCAATGGCCTCTCATCTTACTTGGAGTAAAAGCCAAAGTCCTTACTATGAAAGGCCCCCTGGGATTTGATCCCTGTGACGTCTCAGATCTCATCTCTTACTATTCATTTCAGAGCAAGGAAGGGAGAGAGACAGAAACATCAATGATGATGTCATACCTGGAATACAGAGTGGCTTCTATTTTCCTGACTTAAAATTTAGTTGGGATTATACTGAATATATACTTTTGTATTGTGCTTATTCACATAGCATTTATGTGAGCATTTCCTATTTACTTCAGAAGTATCATGTTTAATGGCTGCACTGTATTAATTCCCATCTATGAGCAACACTGGAAATAATGGCATGCATTTTAAACACAGTTACTCTGAACGGAGAGCGCAATCTGTGAAAATGGAACAGAGAAAAACCAACTGACCCATGTGGTCACTGGACCAAGAAGTTCAGTCTCATTAACACAGTAATTGGTCACAAGACGCTGTTCTGTGCCACTGGCATCTTTATTTTATGTGAGCATTCTTGGCCCATGTTGGTTCAGTTTTTATAGCTTCAGTAAGCCAGAGGTGACATGGAGCAGATATCCTATATTTTTACTCAAAAGTGAATATAACTCAAGTTCTTTTTGGAAGGAAATTAGTTAAAAATGAATAAACAGGACATAAATAGGTAGATGAATGGGTAGGTAAATGGTATGGAGGGATTCGAGGGCCTGGGACAGGGCTGGATTCTTTTTTCTCCCTGCTCTTCTTCCCTAGTTTGTTGTTCCCTTCACTCAATCTTATTTAGTCTGTCAGACCTCGACAGTACAAGAAATCGATGGTTGGGAGTGAGGTAGAGAAAGGCTTTTCTCTTCTAAGAAAAAGATGCATTAATTAAAAGTTGCAAAAACATATAGTTAAGAATCAAGACCCTTGTAGGTATATAATTACCTCAATAATAAATTTTATGCAAAATTTCAACCTTATCAAAAAAGTCTAAACTTTTAGCCAGTGACCGAAGAGTAATAGAAAAAACTTAAGACATAACAAATAAAACATTCCTCTAACTAGCATATTATTGACATACATACCTTATCTTCTTGACTGCGAAAATAATATAACGTTTTTCCTACTAGTGTACACCAGACTCTCTTGGAGTAGCCGTGCTTCACCTGAAATCATATTCCAGAGAATTATGAATGTAGCCAGCTCAGAACTCTAACACCTTAAAGGAAAGTATGGCATACACACTCTATTTGAAGCTGTATAGGTATCCAGTTTGCTTAAAGTGTAAGTGATATTCCAACTAGACTGTCAAAAGCGGTTTAAAATTTACCTGTAGCGGCGTGACATGTTTTGCTTTGGTGCTCATCATTCAACACTTAACAAATGTTTACTATATGTCAAGTATTGTGCCTGGGATTGAGGATTCAAAGATGGATAAAACAAGACGCTGGTTTCAAAAGTACGTATATTTCATAGTTTCCATATTTCATAGATGTCCAGTAACCCCATAGCTCTCTAGGTTCACACCCTAGGTTAGAAATGTGTCTGAGACTGAGCAAGTGAGGACAGAGGTCATGGGGAAGGGTAGGGAGGAAGGGTAGGAGGTGAGGGTGGGGGGTTGGGTATATATATTTTGCAGGACCTTTGCAATGACTTACATTTAAATGGACTGTTCTGATAGTAACTCATTGGGAAGGATATAAATTATTGACACAATAGATTTTTACAGTAGGCAAGTCACTACAGTAGAAAAGGCCTGAATTTTGAGGTCAAATGGACCAAGGCTTAAAGTCCAGTTCTACCGCATACCAGATGGTGTCCTCAGGCGACTGACTCTTGGCTTCTGTGGGTAACATGGGATTACTGGACACCTCATTGGGCCGTTGTGATGACCAGAGGAGAAAATGTCAACAAAGCAGAATAGTAGTTACTCAATAAATGCTTCCTTCCTCCCTATGCATAAGAAGTAAAACACATGTTTCATTTAAACCCACAAGCAGCCAGCCTCTGGGCTTTCAAAGTTACGGTTTAAGCAAACAACTCCGCCATCTCACAGTTTGAAGGATTTAAAATGCTGCTTGAGGAAAAACAAAAAAATGTTTCATTTGGCAAGACATGTTTCAGTTTAATTAAATTTAGAAACATATATTTGCAGACAAATATCCTGGAAGTTTTAAATGGTTTGTGTTATGCAGGGGTTTTTTTTCTTTTTCTTCTTCTTCTTTTAAAAAAAATCCAAAAAAAGGAGACTCATCAAAACTGGAGTATAATGCATCAGGCTGAGAGAGTATCCTTTTGAAGTGATATATCTTTAAAACGTAACAATGGGTACTATCGAAGAACTACAAATTAATGAAGGCCTTTGCCAATTCACTGTAAAAGCTGTTTAAAGCCATCATCTATCTTTATATGTAGATCGAATAATATTAGTTTACCTTAAAACTCTGGCTTACTCTGAAAAACTCATAAAGCAAATTACACTAGGAGAATCCTCATGAAAATGGAAAGGCAATCTCAAACCTCAGGGCTTTGGGGAAACGAAATACTTGAAAGAATCATTTTTCAGTGTACCTTGCATCCATAACAAAGATACTTCCTATCAGCTCTGCTTGAAACTTTGAAGACAAACAGTGAATCCTATCCTGGTGAGCTGTTGTCACCATACACATAAACTCCCCTGGTCTTCTCTCTTCTCCTGTATTCTCATACCTGTAGCCTTGTCCACTACAAATCCTGACGCCAGCCTTGCTGACTTCAGTATCTAGGTGAAGCTCTTGTGATAGTAAGAGTGGTGTAAGGAGAGAGGGAAGTGGAGGGAGGTGGCACATATAAACAGTTGATATGTGCCAGTCACTGTTCTAAAGAACGTTACCTGCTTAAATAATTCATTTAATTCTTCCTCCAACACCCTGTGAGGTTGGCACTATTATCCCCACTTTACAAATGAGGATGCGAAGGCACAGAGCCTGTAAGTAATTCATTCACGGTCACACAGTGGCAAGTGTCAGAGCCAGGATTTATGCCCATATTCTTGCCTTAGCCTCTGCTACACCGCCTCTCTATATCCTTAACCCACAGTTCCTTGCTCTCTTCATCTGCTATCCCTCCATTTTCACCATCCATCCCCTCAGCCAACCTAGTGCACTCCGCTTCTGAAATTTACACTCTACCCTCTGATCTCAACCTCCCTCCACCTCCCTCTCTCCTTACTCACACCACTCCAATTCTTTGACTTCATTCAAAACCGAGCCCCCTAACCCTCCCATTTTAGTCCAGTTTACCAGTCCCCCCTGCTTCTTTCTCCACCAACCCTGAATCCTGTGTTTGATCATAAAATAGCTCCTGCACCAAGACCTGGGATTACACTGTATTCCTATGGCTCTGACAAATCCACCCAACAAAATTTTTCTCCATTTGCTTTTTAAAAAATATATTTTTTATTGATTTCAGAGAGGGAGAGAGAGATAGAAACGTCAATGATGAGAGAGAATCATTGATGGCTGCCTTCTGCACACCCCACACTGGGGATCCAGCCCGCAACCCAGGCATGTGCCCTGAACGGGAATCGAACCATTACCTCCTGGTTTATAGGTTGACGCTCAACCATTGAGCCATGCTGGCTGGGCTATTTTTAAAAAAATAAATGAATTATTATGTAAAAAAAATTCATCCTAAGCAGTAAAAGAAAAGTGGCAGGAGTAGAATATCCAGAATCAAATCAGTCAAGCTCTTAATATTTACCCACATATTTCTGTACTTAATAGCAATGTGACAACTTGGAAAAACCTGTTCCCCTCTAAGGTACTCAAAGCTGCTCCACAGCATCTCAAACTGTAGCCTGAATGTGAGCTCAGAACAAGTCACGAAGAATAGCTGAGGGATGGTTTTCTGTTACAAGGTTCTGAGGGTAAAAATATGGGGGTGGACAAGGATTCATAACTAAGTAGGAAGAAAACCTACTTAGTATCCTGTCTATGAACCATAATGGTTTGGTCATCAGCTAATCACATCACCTTTTACTTATTTAAAATGCAATTGTGAAATGGGAAGCAGAGAACAGCAGAAATGTAATATGAGCAAAAATTAATCAACCATATTGATAAATTAATAAGCCATGCTGATTAAAACAGACAAACAAACAAACAAAAAACACAAACTAATTTTGGGGTAAGTAACAAATCCTTGGCCATGGAATCATATTAAACTCTAACGCTTGCTATACATGGTCCTTGATAAAGGAGGACATCCAGCCATTATGAATTAAAATAAGAATGTGATTTAAAGTAGCACTGTGTTCACTGGAAGATATACACTGAGTGGCCAGATTATTATGACCACCTCATCAGTATTTCATTGACACTTCCAAAAATACTGAATATTGAAAACTTCCTAAGCAAATACTCTCAAGGTTTTATTATTATTTGCATAACTAATTCACTTCATTGTACTGATGGGGTGGTCATAATAATCTGGCCACTCAGTGTATATTTTCACAGTACCAGAGAATTTTCTAACCCATCAGTAACTGAAAAAGCATTTTTATGGTAATGTAATATTTGAAAACAAAACACACAGGTCATTCATTTCTTGGTTGAATGTATTGATTTTTTTCTGTTACTTTTGGAATAGCTGGTCAGTCTTTGTAAATATTACTGAATAACAACCACCTATATTCCCATATTAATATTAAGTATAGATTACATAGTGGCATAGCTCATCACAACATCTAAATTTTTCACCTCTTACATAAACAAAGCACATGGATAATGAATGGTTGTAGAGATTATTTTTGGTATAATATTTTGTGTGTAAAAATGTTATTATATTTCTCTAAAAGAGATAGTAAATATCTGTCAAAACCAATTGAAATTTTAAAAATTAAATAATATTTTTAGCATAAATCAATACCGACTCATTAAAAAGTTAGAAAACAGAACTAAGTAAAAATAAAATCAAATCACATATTCAATATAGATTGGTACACTTCCCATGAAGCATTGGTGGTAAGCACAGCTGCCTTCTTTTCTATGAATATGTTTAACAGAAGTTGTGCTTTAAAGCATTATACACATTTTGAGTGAATATAATTCTGCACTATACTTGTTTTATCACCCAACACATCATATTTCTGTAACATTAAATATTCTTAACAATTAAAATGACTACAGAGTAAAGCATTACCTGATTAAATACATATTTATTTAAGCTACCCCCTACTCTGCATCTATGTTGATCCCAAGTTTTCTTTAATATAAACTATGCCATGCAAGTAATCTTTCTGGGGTAATGGAAATGTTCTATCTATATCTTGATAGAGTGACAGTAAATATCTGTCAAAACTCATCAAACTCTGCCCTAACTGGTTTGGCTCAGTGGATAGAGCCTCGGCCTGCAGACTGAAGGGTCCCAGGTTCGATTCCAGTCAACGGCATGTACCTTGGTTGCGGGCACATCCTCAGTGGGGAGTGTGCAGGAGGCAGCTGAATCGATGTTTCTCTCTCATCGATGTTTCTAACTCTCTATCCCTCTCCCTTCCTCTCTCTAAAAAATCAATAAAATATATTTAAAAAACAAAACAAAAAAAACCTCATCAAACTCTACACTTAAGAACTGCGTTGCAGGTGTGAAGCCTCCCCCCACCAGCCAGAGGAGCCACCACAGCGGTGAATAGCACCCACCACAGGAGCTGCTCCCAACTGAGGAGCGGCTGCTACCACAACCACCCGAGGAGCAACCACAACCCGAGGAGCCACTGCCACCCAGGGAGCAGCCACTGAACAACTCAACATCTAGATATGTCGGTGAGATCAAACATGGGTAGGCAAAGAAACCCCCAAAGGAAAGAAAAGGAGGACTCGCCAGAAAAGCAGCTAAGTGAAACCGAGGCATGCAGCATGACAGAAAAAGAATTCAGATTAAGGGTCCTAGAATGCATAAACCAGATGGAGGAAAAAATCAACAACTTATGCAAGAAGCAAGAAGAAACAGATGAAAAAATCAATAAATTATGTAAGAACCAAGAAGAAATGAAGTGTGTTATAGCTGCAATAAAAAACACCACTGAAAGTTTCAACAGTAGACTAGGAGAAGCAGAGGACCAAATTAGCGAATTAGAAGACAGGGAAACAAAACACACCCAAACTGAACAGCAATTGGAGAAAAAAATTAAAAGACAGGAGGAGAGCCTAAGGGAGCTATGGGACAACATGAAACGAAACAACATATGAATAATAGGGGTGCCAGAACAACAGAAAGAGGAACAAGACTTAGAAAACCTATATGAAGAAATAATATCAGAAAAGAACTGCGTTGCAGTATATGCTAATTATATCTCTTTCTTTTTAATAGAGAACATCTACCTGTGATGAACATCCTTATACTTAAATCTTTTACAAATTAAGACCATTTCCTGAGCATAAATTACTTAGACTGAGATTACTGAATCAAAGCGTATGTATATATGTTTTTAAAATATTTAATATTCTTTCATTCATTTGTTCTTTCAAAAATATTTACTGAATGAACAGTTTGGCCAAGACATTGCCAAATTGTCTTCTAGAGTAATTCTCTCACTAGCAGATTTCCCAATTTGTGTCAATACTGCATTTCATAATGTTAAAAATGTCCCCCTTTGACTAGATTTTTTAAAATATCTATGATTTCAAGTTGTGCTTTTTAAAGAACATTATTAGCGACAGTAAAATGTCTTTCCACATGCTTATGGAGCATGTGTATTTCATCTGACCTCTCCCAGCTCTGCTTCTTTCCCTTCGTGTCCTTTGCTCCTTCCCCCATTGGTACCCTTTACTTACTGATTAGAAAAGGCTTGTTTTTCAGCCATTTCAAATACCTTTTCAAAAATTCTGCCTAGAGAATTTTCGAGAGTAAGAACATTTAGATTTTTATGTATAGTAGTCAAGTTTGTCATTTTTCCTCTTTATGGTTTTGTCTTTGGCATTCTATTTAAAATATCCTTCTCCACCCCAAGATAACATAAATATTCAATGTATTTTCTCTGACACCCACTATTCCCGATCAGTGGGACCCTGCCAGGCACACAGAGGCCTCCTACCTTCGTGAGCAGGCCCTTCACCGTTGGTTTGCCCTCAGGCTGCAGGGAAAGCGGGTTGGCAGCTTGTACTCGAAGAACATTCTGTAACACCTTAATCCATTCCTCCAATATATTGGGAGAATCTGCAGTCAGATAGTATGTGTGCTTTTCAGTGGTCAACTGGAATGGGTTGAGAAAGAGACAGGAAAGGGAACGCTGAAGATTTAGGCTTATTTGCATTTCCTTGTCCATTCTTTAAACATTGCTACTTAACATGGAAACAAACATGCTAAACCTTGAATCCTAGGTGGGAAATAAATGACTCCATAAGTAATTTAGCATATTTTAACCACTTTGTGAGAATTACAGTGATTAACATTCCGTTGAAATTTTTTTTCCAACTGAAGTTTACTTTAAATTTTTCATAGTATTAAAATTTTAGGTCATGATTTATCTTGTTTACTCAATACATTTTCCTTTAAATGTGCTATAGGCTCCTGGTTGTTGAAGTGAGGAGCAGAATGACTGGAGACTGTACTAAAATAACACATTTTTAACCAAGCCAGGAGTTGTTATAGAAATGAAAAAAATCACCCTAGGGGTTTGGCTCAGTGGATAGAGTGTCGGCCTGTGGACTGAAGGGTCCTGGGTTCAATTCTGATCAAGGGCACATGCCTGGGTTGCAGGCTCGATCCCCAGGAGGGGGCGTGCAGGAGGCAGCCGATCAATGATTCTCTCATCACTGATGTTTCTCTCTCCCTCTCCCTCTCCCTTTCACTCTGAAATCATTCAATCAATTATAAATAAAATAAAATCTTGCATATAAGTTCTCGGAACTAACATGTGATCAGACATTATGAACTTGCAATTTTTCAGACTCAAATTAACCATACGTCAAATTTTCCAGATATTTAGGAAGCTTACAAACGACCTTTATCTGCCATGCTCCAAGACAAAGCTTCCATGATTCTCCTTTCTACATTTTGGGACAGTTCTCAGATATTATCCACTGGAAACACTGATAATGTAACTTTCTAATAAATGTTGAAGTCTACCCTCTCGAGGAGCAAGATAATAATGATTATTAAAGGCATTTCAAAGTGTCTGAATTTAAGTCACATATACCCAACTATCTCAACAGCCTACGTCTTAAATGTAACAGGTTTCTGTCAAGACTGGCCTATTTGTGAGTGAAATGGTCAGCGGCTCCGCTATGGTGTGACTTAGTGGGAACTAATACAGCCCCACTGCTCACCAATATCCTTCCCATTTAGGTGTCAACAGCATCTGAAGTTCACAGAACTGTCACTTTCTGGTTCTGTATTTAAATACAAACACTCCTGAATTTAATATACATTAAACTACTAACATCTTCATTTATCCAATAACCCTCCCCTAAAATAGCTAGACAGTTTGAGAGCTGAGAATAGCTGGGAGACTAAGTATAGGGAAAGAACAGTATAAGTGATAAAGGGCAAATGAAGTAGTGGAGAGTTACTCAACACAAACTTAGCTTATATTTTGGTTTCATAAATATTGAGTCATCAAACTGAACCGAAAGTAAATTTTTACAAAATAGTGAATATCCAATCTCCTCTTTATTAGTTTGAATAATTGAGAATTAAGTTTTGCATGATACAAAAACATAGTTTTTAAGAAAGTACCTGGACTGTTTGTTTGTTATCTCCTCTTAAAATACTGCAGGATGCACTAAGTTCAATATGGCCGTGGGGTTTTCTAATTACATCACTCTGTATGAAAGGAAGAAAACCAAAAGCAAAGTGATTGCCTGTAGTAGCAATAATAAGAAATGCTTTAATTAATAACATCACGGAAGAAAATCAATCAGGAGTTTGAATTCTAGTTTGAGGGATTCAGTTCCAAATAGCAAGCACTGCTCAGCTGGTTGGGCATTGACCTATGAACCAGGAGGTCGAGGTTTGACTCCTGGTCAGGGCACATGCTGAGTTGAGGGCTCGACCCATAGGAGGGAGCGTGTAGGAAGCAGCCGATCAATGATTCTCTGTCGTCATTGATCTTACGGTCTCTACCTCTCCCTTTCTCTCTGAAACCAAACAGCACACGCTTTCCACTCACCGGAGATTTGTAGTAAAGTAATTCACCACCTTTCAGAACAAACCATCTCCGCTTCCAAGTCTTGACTTTACCGCTCATTTTTAATAAATAGCCAGATTTTTCCAGTGGCTCCTAATTAAAAAGAGATTTTAAGAAGTATTTCAGTTTCCTTTGGAAGCTCCAACTAACAGATTTATTCATTTAAAAAACGAACAAAACCCGATGCAGTGCTTACGTTTTTCCCGTTATCACTGGAAGACGAGCAAGTTTTAGGGAGCTTCTGCTCCGGCTGTGAGCACTCGGTGTCTGTGGAGTAAGCATCTGGGGGGATAGCATAGTCACTTTCAGAAGCCACAGAAGACAGAGACACACCTAGATGAATAAGGAAACAAATCAAAGTCAATATTTAATAACTGGGTGGTCCAAATGCTGACTGCGAGTTCTCTGAAGGATACAGCTATTCCTAAATCATAAGCCTTCCTACGCTGGATTTAGTCTCATGCCTTTGGCCATGAAGAACTTTTAAAGCAGAAAACAGAACTAAAGGGTAAGAAGTAACATGCAAGTCTTTAAGGAAGTCAAAGGAACATTAATATTTAAAATGATTACAAGCAAAGCTATTTTTGCATATATAAAATATATACATTAGTCTACAAATGTATCTTTTATTAAGGATTAAAATATGTGCATTTACATTTTTATATATAGGCAAACAAATATTTAATCCTTTTTTCCCAAATATTTAATCTTAATTAAGATTTGCACAATCACATTTACTTTTTGTAATCACCTTTAAAGTAATTCACATTTACAAACACCCCACAATTTCAGAATTTTTTTGTATAAGTCCAATACTACTAGTTTATAGATTTTAAAAATATTTTAAAAAGAGAAGCAGTATGATTTAAAGACATAAACAGACTATTTCATTTGCCAGAGGCTACAAGAGAAAATTCAGGGAACATTTTCACAATAACTCACTTGGCTTTTTAGAAAAAGACTTGCAAATTGCAAGTTATATTTGGAGGGTCACTACAATGGAGATTTTGAATATATTAAATAAAATCAAGGACTTAGGTCATTATTCATTACACTTGTATAGCCAATTTTAAAAATATTTATTAACATTTCAGGGACATTAGAGCAATGTCACTATATCATTATTATTTATGTGAATAAGACAAGTAACAGTTGTGATAACAGTAATGTCTTTTTTCTTTTAATGGAAGGACAGACATTTAGATCTATAAAGGACCTACAAGATCATCTTAGCTAATCCCCTCATTCTCTAAAGCAGGGGTCCTCAAACTTTTTAAACAGGGGGCCAGTTCACCATCCCTCAGACCGTTGGAGGGCCGGACTATAGTTTAAAAAAAAACTATGAACAAATTCCTATGCACACTGCGCATATCTTATTTTGAAGTAAAAAAACAAAACGGGAACAAATACAATATTTGTATTTGCATGTGGCCCGCGGGCTGTAGTTTGAGGACCCCTGCTCTAAGGAGACTAAAGGATTTGTCCAAAGTCAAATCACTAGGCATGGGCACTGCTGGAGAACAAAGCTCAGGCTCCCAGATCCAGGGCCAGTATGTTAGGCACCATCCTAGGTGCTAGCGATAGAACAGACAACAAAACAGAACCTTTTCTGCCCTCGTGGAGCATAGATTCTAGTTGGAGGGAGACAGATAAAAAATAGGCACTAAGTCCCGTGGAAAAATAATATGGAGGGCAGACTAAGGGAATTTTTAAGAGTCCAGCAGTTGGAGAAGGCAAAGGAGTGCATCTGAATGGTGTGGTCAGCGCAGATCTCTGAGAGGGCAGTGTCTGCACAGGCACTGAAGGAGGCGCGGGAGTCAGCCATAAGGACACCTGGGTGAAGAATACCAAGCAGAGAAAGCAACCAGTGCAAAGGTCCTGAAAAAAAAAGCGGGCCTGGAATGTTCCAGGAACAGCAGTGTGGCCAGAGCTGAGCGAAGGAAGAGAAAAAAGGAGATGAGGAAGGACATAAAAGACACCTTATAGCCATTATGAGTCCTTGTAGTATTTTGAGTAAAAAAGTGTGATGTAACCTGAATCTAGCTGGGGGTAGGGGGTGGGGTAGAGAGTCAAGGTATGCACAAAGAGACCAGTGGAAGCCCAAAATACTAAACCTATGAAAACTGACAACTCCAGTTGAAAATGAGGGGTTTGGGGATACCTAGGGATTTCCATGGAACACAGTTTGAAAACCAACAAACGTATCATGGTGACTTGAAGGTTTTTGTAAATATAGACACCATTTAGTGTGATGAAATCTCTCTGTAACTTCTTCCTAAGCCAAAAATTTCTTCCAAATCCACTAAAAATCACAAATATATCTAAAGTCAATTTTTTTATTGTTTTCCATCTTACTACCAGATTAATCACCAGATTTTTAGATGTATTTGTTGCCATTTAGCAGTGTAACAAATTGAGCTGAAATAAATCTATCCCATAAATTATCCAAATAAATTATTCTCATAAAAAAGTGTTTTCTCTTTTACATGAAAGAAAAGGTTAAACAAAAAAGTCTATGTGGCTTGTCTGGAAACACGAAGAGGATCGCAAATGTAAGTGTCTTAGTCCCAGGCTAATTCTCTCGTCACCGTGGTTTAAAATAAATGCTCTGACTTTTTAAAAAATCCTATTACAGAGATAAAAGTCCCATTTAGCATTCTGAACGGTTTGGAGTTGCCTCGTATGCCCGAGCCTTTCGCTCACCTCGCTTCATGGCTCTGGGGCTTCCTGGCCCACTCCGGCTGCGCGTGTCAGACTCTGAGGTCCGGGAGCTGCATCTGGAACTCTCTTCTTCCTCTGATCCAGAGGACTCATCCAGGAACGGGCTGCTGCTTATCTGGGTCGCCTTCTACAGAAAAGCAGAACCACCTCTATGTGTCCATCTCTACAGTCACCTCTCTCTTTAGATATAGAATGTTTTACCAGAAGCAGCCATGGAATAAACGTTTTTAAAGGAATGAAAGAATATGTTTTGCCATTATCAAAGTCATGTTGTTAAGCCCCAAATTCTAATTAGCAAGGCATTTTGGCAATTTATAAAAGATTCCTGAAAACATAAGGCCATGAGTACCTGGTGATGCTTATTTTAATAAGGTTCTTCAAGCGAGGGAGGGGATCCCTGGCAGTGATACAAAGATCTTCCTAAATTAGTTTTCATTGCATCGTTAGTAACATACTTCCTTTAAACCATTAAGTAAACCATGGAGGGGGTGGAGTATCACATGGGACATAACAAAATTGGATTCAGACCTCTAATACTGATAAGAAGAAATATCTTCTCCAGATCTTTCATTTCTTATCTTTATATGCTATATTAGAGTGAATTTCTAAAACTCCCCATAAAGGGAGAGTCTGTGGAAACTGACAAGAATGAAATATGGAGCTTGAATAAACAGTCTTCTTGATCCGTCATGAAGAGATCCACATGTTTAACAGAAACAATAATGAGTTACCCCCTTCAATGTTGTATACACTGGAGTTGTCATATTCTTGTATATCAGAGATGTATAAAGTCCTGATGTGGTATAGGAAAGCATTGCAACAGAATCTGAAACAGAAAACAAAATTATTTTTTAAAAAACAACACAAAAACTTCTAACCAGCATCTAGGTCTATTTCTTACGAATGCGAATTAACAAAATTTCCAATTAAAAGAGAAATTGAATCAACACACATGATTATTGGTTATAGAGTCTACTTTAAGAATTATGGCATTTGCAGGCTTAATTACACACTCTATTACATGGTTCATTATTTCCTCATGTGTACTGGTTCCCCAACTAGACTGTAAGCTCTCTGAGAGCAAGGATCATGGCTTTTATTTCAATGGCATCTCCATCCAGCTCAGTCTGGGCAGAAATAAGTACAAACACCTGCTGACTGGTTCAGTGAGCAGTAGCCTATGAAGATATTCTCTGATTATTACTGACATGGTGTTAAAACATGATCATTCTTAGGCCTTTATCAGGTGAACCTCATGTTGAAAGGTAAGAATACAATCTCCTAAATGTTAAGAACATGAGATAGTTGGAAAGAAACAGAATATCAGTGATTATCTCTGAGATATGAATTAGTGGTAGGATAGGTAGAAGGAACCACAGGAAAATTTCTCTTTTTTTTTTCAGACAGTTCTTTGTGATTTTATTTTATTTTATTATAATCGGCATGTGTTGCCTTTATAATATATTTTTGATGAAAGAAAGAGACAGGGAGGGAGGGAGGGAGGGAGGAAAGGAAGAAGGAAGGAAGGAAAAGAGAGAAATGTGTTTTAAACTCTGGAAAAAGAGAACATAGAGACCAATATGTTTCCTTTAAACAGCTGAAACTCCACAGTTTCTTTGCTTTAGCCTTTTCCAGGTAAAAACATAATGAGGTACTCTCTACATGAGAATTAAATGTTCATGTGCCCCTATACTGAATTTTAAAATATAAATCAGCAATCCTAGAAATCATTTTCTGAAAGGTTAAATAACTCTATTATTCTATTATTTAGACATTTAGGAATTTCTTGGCTAATGAAACAGCAGTATAAAATCACTTATTTTTATATTTTTATTTTTTAACATTTTTTATTGTAGTAAAAAAAGTATAACATAAAATTTACCATTTTAACCATTTTAAGTGTACAGTTCAGTTAATGTTAAGTATATTAACATTGTTGTGAATCTGATCTTGATAACATTTTACCTTACAAAACTGAAATTCTATACCCATTAAACAACTATTCTCCCTTTCCTTCCCCCAAGGCCCAATAACCAGTATTCTACTTTCTGTTTCTATGAATCTGACTACTTTAGATACCTCATATAAGTGGAATCATACAGTACTTGTCTTTTTGTGACTGCTTATTTCACTTAGAGTAATGTCCTCAAGGTTCATCCATGTGGTAGCATGCAAAATCACTTACTTTTATTAACATTCTCCATATTGAAGGCCTCAGACATTCGAATGCCTGATTTGGCCACAGCATAAATTCTGCTTTCCTAATGTAAAAGAGAAATTTAAACTGAATATTTAAAGCAAAGAAATGATTACTTTCAATACACATGTTTTTCATTTAATATTCATTAGAGTACAGCATTATTATAAAACTGTCACCATTGCCAACTAAAATATGCCACTGTGGATAGCACTGCAGAGGTTTTTTCCATCCATTAATAATTCCATTATTTATCTTTGTTCCCAAATTTTTGCTTGGTATTTTAAATTCTTTTGGAGATAGGAAAAAAAAAGTAATAGAAAGCTTACTCACAATCAATCACTGACTATACATGAGCACTACCTCTAATAGCCTACCATTCTAGAATATGGTTAAAGAAAAAAGAAAAAACTTGAAATCAGAAATCATAGATAGAGTAGCAGTAAGTGTTATTACCTTCATATTTCAATGAAGTAGAAGAAACACCCGAGGTCAAATAGTAAATTTGAGAATTGCAATGGAATGCATAATATCTTGTTCCAGAAGTAGGTTATTTTGCTTTCTCTTTTTCATTTCAGAGATAGCTCTGAAATGGGTACTGAAAAGGTTATTAACCCTGCCCCTATGAGAAAAGGGACTCTAACCTGGATACAGTTGTCTAGACCATAGAACAGTAGGCACCTAAGGCAGTCCTGTTGAGGACTGTGCTAGCCAGGGGCCTGTGAGGTCACGGGCATAAGAATCTCTAACTGTCTGAGATTGAAGAGTGGCTGACTGAATGACTCAGATGCAGTTTCTCTGAGAGTGTAATTGTGGGCAAAGTTGGCAGAACAGAGAGATACTGGTATATAAAAACTAGAGGCCTGGTGCATGAATTCAGGCACTGGTGGGGTCCGACCGGCCCACCCTGATTGGGGCAATCAGGCTGAGTCGGCAGCGGGGAGGAGACGGAGGAGGTTGGTGGGCTGGCCTGTCCCCTGGTCAAACTTCCGGTGGAACTCCTAGTCTAGGGGACAATCTGCATATTAGCCTTTTATTATATAGCATAAGACAGTAAGCAGGAGATGCGAGGCAGTGAGAAGTCAGGGGAGAGTGAAGAAGAGTAGTTAGCAGTGGTGAGAAAAGCAGACTCATTGTAGACAGGAAAGGACAAGTGAGCCACTGGACCTGGAGCAATGGTGTCACGGGTTTCTAAGGCGTTGACTATCAGAGGTGCTGTTCAATCATCACATGTTGTCCCCCTAGAGTGACTACTGAATTTGAAGTGACAGGCAAGTTCAATAAGGATGGGCTATGTCTTAAACTCTTAATAAAATAAACTCTGATAAATTGAGGTAATTAGAATACATCTCTTTTTTGTGAAACCTGAAAATACCAATAAACAAAAATAAAATCTCAAACTTGGCCAGTCTGCTAAAGGGTTTGTGAAAAACAATAGTACTTTTTCAGGATTGAATAGTTTCAGCAGCCAAGGAAAAGCAAGAAAGGCAAAAAAAAAAAAAAAAAAGAAAAATGGTTTGCCAACTAAAACAAACTTGAAAGCCTAACCTAAATCTCTGGAAATCTCAACATAATAAGAAAAGCACGCTGCCTAAAGGATAACATATTTGGAATTCCAGCGATTCACATGCCAATAACATCCCCTTTCTTTTTTTGCTGTCCAGAATTTAGTAATAAACTGCAGACGGTTTCATATGGACAATGAAAGGTTCTTCTGAAAGTAAATAAGAGCATATACAGCTCAAGGTCTGAATTTATACTAGGAAACATGGTCACCTTAATTTGCTAAAAACTGCATTTCTCACTAAATAAAAAAAGTAATAACAGAACATGACTCCAAAAACCCCAAATTCCTGCAACCCAGGTGTTTCTCTTGAGGCCACAGGTTAAATTATGTCAAAATGGGAAGGAAAACTTAAATCTACAGAACAGGTCATTTCACTTTGTTTCAAATACAGGAAGAATTTTGAAATTGATGGATGAATTGATGGGTGAATTATTGTATTAATTGTCAGTGTTTCAATGGAAGAATTTCAATCTAGTCTGGATATTTAGGAAGATGCTTTTGGTTAAAGGAATGGATTTATAAGTTCATAAAGAGTAAAATTAAATTTCTCTTAAGGCCAATCAATGAAATAATTAACTTCAAAAACTGATGACCAATAAGAGTGAAGCGTCCTGGTTGAGAATTCACCCACAAGTATTAACACAGTTAAAGAGGAACCTTTCTTCTCCACCCCAGATGTTTTCTTACATGTGGAGGGGGCTCCAGTAATTCAACACTCCTGATCTCTTCCCAACTATTCACTCTCCCCTCCCCGAGGAGAAGGAGTGGCTTAATGAGATCGGTAAGCTTAGAAGGAGAAACTGGACATGCAGAGTCCAGCACCTTCCTCTCTCCTTTCTCTTCAGAACAACCATTTGTTCGTGCTCTGGGCTTTAAGTTTCCGAGGGCAGGGCCTCACTGGCCGCAGCCTGTGGGGGTCCAGCACCAGCTGGCGAATCAATCAGCTAGCTCCAAGGTCCAGTATGAGAAAGCTCCTCTGCCCACCAATTCTCTAAAATCAGTTTAATCAGTAATAAAGGTAAGATTATGCTCTCCCATCTGTCTTATCCTTGTCTTGCTTCTTTTTTTAAATATATTTTATTGATTTTTTTTTACAGAGTGGAAGGGAGAGGGATAGAGAGTTAGAAACATCGATCAGCTGCCTCCTGCACACCCCCTACTGGGGATGTGCCCGCAACCAAGGTACATGCCCTTGACCGGAATCGAACCTGGGACCCTTCAGTCTGCAGGCCGACGCTCTATCCACTGAGCCAAACCGGTCAGGGCTCCTTGTCTTTCTTCTCATTGATCCAGAACTCAGTGAGAAAGAGAAGGGGAAATTCTGTTCTGAAAACAGGGAATGATCAGAACAAAGGTGGATTTGAAAAGAAACAGAAAAAGAAGTCAAACCTGAAAATGAGTGTTAAGAAAAAAAAATAGTGTGCATGTGCTGCACACAGCAATACAATTTACCCAGGAGGGAAAACGGTGCAGGGGAGGAGTCGGAGGTTTGCTGCACGCCGCCTTCTTTGCTGAGTCACAGCTTTCTTGGTCATCTGAACACGGGGATTCCAGGGAGTCATAGGAGAACAATCCGTCGTCACAACTGGTGTCCATATTCTCCAAAACTTCTGTACTGTCGCCATCCACCAGATCCAAATCTGTTTCCTGGGGTCTCAGTGGCCGGATCATGCTTATGGCATTTCTGTTGGTACCAAACATCCTATCGGAACTTAACTGCGGCTGGCTTAGGTGCCTTTTGGCCAGTGCTACACTTATACTGAAAACATTAGGAATCCTTAACTTGGGGGGTGGCAGGTTGGATGAAGGCACTAATTGGGTTCCTTTTCCAGGCAGTAGGTTAGGATGCTTTGGAGTCAAAGCTGGGGTCAAAATCGGACTTGGGGTGTTAGCCTCACTCGATGACGATGAATAATCCAGCCTCTGAGACTGAAATTTTTTATTCAGTTCATCTGAGGAACTATCGTGCTCCTTTTTACTCGACTCAGGATTTCCCTTTCCAAGAAGACTATTCTGAGCTTTCCACTGTGCTTCCTGCTGCCAAGAATACAGCTTCTTGTGCTCTGGTCTCTTTATGCCGAAAGTCTCTTCTTCAAATATAGAACTGCTGTCATCGGACGCTGTCAGATAGGTTTCACTGCCCATCCTGCTACACTGGACCCCTTCCTCTGACGTGTGGCTGGACAGGGTGGACATGTACCTGGACTTGGATCTTCCTTTGCTCCCGTCTTCCTCATCGGAACTCCAGTCACTCCCGGGAGCCCCAGAATTCTGGGAGATGCCGCCCTCTGTCGCGAGGCTTGTTCTTGATTTCCGATTCTGCTCTGAGCCACAAGGGGTTTGACGCAAAGTTCTCTGACCTCGGCTGTTTTCTTGAATGTGGTTATCGACAGACTTCTCTGTAATTTCCATTTCTAGAAAAGCATATATCATATTCGCATGTTTGCCTTTAATAATATAATCTTTCTGTGCATTTAGCTTTATGTAACTACACTGTCAAAACTGGAGTTTTCATAAGAATAAAGTTAATTTACATTATTATTTTTTTAGTTGTATGACTTTTTTAAACCCAAGTTTGGAAACGATAAGCTTTATATAAAACATGGAGCCCCAACACTTCAATAGCATAGTATCAAAATGAAACTGCTTTTACAAACAAACATGCTGGGAGGAAAACTGACAATAGTCTAAGGACAGATAATCAAAGAAGCAAAACATGAAATAGGGCAACACTACCTATCAAAGAAAGCAGCCACTAAAACATGAACACTCTTAAATTGATTTTAGAAGCAAAGAGAATGACAACCCTCTTTCAATTCTATTTCAAAATCATCATATGTAAATTTAAACATAATATAGTTTAAATAACAAACTTGGTTTCCAAACTTCAATGCATGAAATTAATATGCAAAACCATGAAGAAAACATAAACAGAGAAGGGCTTTCCTCCCTCTACTTCTGGTTTAATCGTAACTTCAAAATGTGTTTTTATAATAAGAATTACACTCTTCCACAATGTCTTTAGATATGGCTTATTTTGTTTATAACATAATTAACAGAATAAACCACTGGCTTCAGAAACAGCGAACTAAAATTTTAGATCAAAGAGTACAAAATAAACTTTGAAACAGAAACATAGGTATGACCTTTATAACTAAGGAAATAGAGGCTGAACAAATAAACTGAAATTTGGTATCAGGCACTTTGTTAAATCTGCAAATGAACGAAAGTTTCAATACAGGCAGCCTTCTCAACAAACAACAACAAAAATGCAAGTAATGGCATAAAAGTGAGTAGCAAAGGAGCCTTCTAGCTGAAAAAGCATTAGGCAGTTTTCAGAATTTCATAATCAAGCATAGACTTTTAGGGCTATAATTTTTCTCCTTTGGGGGAAGCAAAGTGGGAACTGAAAATAGAGAAGATGCAAATTCAAGTCTCCCTGGAATACCTGGGAAAAGTCATCCTGGGTGGCAAAGCCAGCAGCTGCACCGCAAAGCAAAATTTAGAGGGGCTTTAAGACTAAAAGAGGAATATAAATCTGCACAGAGGTTAGGGTTTCAACATCCAGGCAAATATTTTCCTCGTTGAAGCAATAAAGGGAAAATCAAAGCAGTTACAAAAATTGTCCCCTGGTGCTCTTTTTCTTTAGAAATTTGCAATGTCATATTTAATATTAGGTAATTTTTAAATATTTAAAATAAATAACGAACAGAAAGTTCATAGTACTAATCTGAAGCTCTAAGCTGAAACAAGTACCATGTAGGTGCAACTGTGAACCTTTTTAAAATGTTTTTTTTTTTTTTTAATTTCAGAGAGAGGAAAAGAGGGGGAGAGAGAGATAGAAACATCAATGATTAGAGAGAATCACTGATGGGCTGCCTCCTGCATGCCCCACACTGAGATAGAGCCCACAACCTGGGCATGTGCCCTCACCAGGATTCGAACTGTGACCTCCTAGTCCATAGGTCGATGCTCTACCACTGAGCCACACCAGCCAGGCTGTAAACCTTTTAGTAATTTTAAATATCACTGCTTCCTACTGCAGGAAGAAGTACCAAGAGGGGAAAATCAGTTTCTCCTCTGCCTCACTGGCAAAGACTCTAAAAAAAAAAAAATACATAGCTAGATACACAAAGTTAAATGTTGAACATCTCTTTAAAAGTATTCTCATAAGACATGAACCTGTCAAGAAGAAAAAATAAGAAAACTAGGATGAATCATTCAGATAGATTTTGTATATTTACCCTTTTGAGTGATGGAAAAATTAAAAAAGGAAAATTAAGCTATATAAGGATTTTTCCCTTTTCAAAAATGTCAAAGCAAATTCCGCTAGTTCATAAATACCTTCTATGTCTTTTCCTTCAGTGAACTCAGGTTCTTTAGATGGTATCTTGCTCATTTCCTCAGATTTTACTACTTGAGGAGGACTCCTCGCTCGGGATGAAAAGCACCCGAAGGTCAAACTGCTTAGGCGCTGGCCCTCCGAAAGCTTTGGTGTGGAAACACTGGATGACTTCTTCCCTTGAGCTTCTGCAAGATCATTCATCAAAATCAAGATCTGAATTTTTCACAACAGCTTGATAAACACAGAACCAAAGCACATAAAAACGTGGACAAATCACTCCTTATGCCAGAATAAAAGCCTGAAAATCCTAAAGGTCATCTTTTTTTTTCTTTTTCTTTTATTATTCAATTTATTTAAACTAAAAAAAGTTTTCACCCATTTCTCCCACCACCCATCCATCGCTTCTGGCAACCACCAATCTGTCTCTGTGTCAATGAGCTTGGTTTTTCCATTTTATTTATTTATTTTTAGATTCCACATATAAAAGATCATAAGGTATTTGTCTTTTCCCGACTTATTTAACTTAGCATAAGGCCCTTGAGGTTCATCATGTTGTTACAAATGCTGAGATTTCTTTCTTTTTATGGCTGAGTAATATTCCACATATATATCTTGGCTTCTTTATCCATTCACTCATCAATAGACACTTAGATTGTTTCCATATCTTGTCTATTGTAAATAATGCTGCATTGAACATGGGGTGCACATATCTTTTTGAATTAGTGTTTTCATTTTCCTCAGATAAATGCCCAGAAGTAGAATTGCTGAATCATATATGGTAGTTCTATTTTCAATTTTTTAAAATCTCCATACTCCTTTCCATGGTAGCTAAACCAATTTACATTACCACTAACAGTGTACAAGGGTTCTCTTTTGTCCACATCCTTGCTAACACCTAGTTATTTATTGTCTTTTTGATAATAGTCATTCTGAGAGGTATGAGGTGATATCTCATTGTCGTTTTGCATTTCTCTGATGATTAGTGATGAGGCCTGGTTGCCAAAAGATTAGAACAGCGGTTCTCAACCTGTGGGTCGCGACCCCTTTGGGGGTCAAACGACCCTTTCACAGGGGTCGCCTAAGACCATCGGAAAACACATATATAATTACATATTGTTTTTGTGATTAATCACTATGCTTTAATTATGTTCAATTTGTAACAATGAAAATACATCCTGCATATCAGATATTTACATTACAATTCATAACAGTAGCAAAATTACAGTTATGAAGTAGCAACGAAAATAATTTTATGGTTGGGGGTCACCACAACATGAGGAACTGTATTAAAGGGTCGCGGCATTAGGAAGGTTGAGAACCACCGATCTAAATATTTCAGATTTTGTGGTCTCTACACTGGAGTTGTAAACAACCATAACATGGGCAGAATTCACCATAAGAGTGGTGTGTGAAGTGCTATGATATTTCAGAAGGAGGAGGGAGGGTGAGAGAGACACATCAATTGGTTGCCTCCCACACTGCAACCCAGGTACATGCCCTTGACCAGGAATCAAACCCAAGACCCTTCAATGCACAAGCCGGTGCTCTAACTACTGAGAAAGACAGGCCAGAGTGACTAAATTTTTTTAAGCAAACATATCTGAAAATAAATGTTGAAATTAGTAGTATCTCCTTTGTATTACTTGCTACTGTCTACCTGTGTTTTCTAATATGGACATGTGGTTATTTAAATATAAATCAATTCAAATTAAATAAAATGTAAAATTCAGTTCCTTAGTAGTGCCAGTCATATTTCAAGTGCTCAATAGTAAAATTCTATATATTAGTAACCAAATAAAACCAATTGAGCTATTTTAATCAAAGTACTCATACCTTGTAGTTTTGACTGTATTGTTCTTATCTCTTCGGTTTGGTTTTGGTTGATCAAACGAAGATTCTGATTCTCCAATTCCAGCTAAAAGGACATATGGTATTCTTTTAAATAGGAATAACATTTCTAAAATATACTAGTGAATTATAATATGTAGAAAATGTTAATACCTAACTACACATAAGCAAAATACGAAAGATTTATGGATTTATCAGCATAAGTTATCAACTTATATAATTATGGCTTAAATATTAATTTTTCTAAAACTAAGAGTTTTAAGTGTTTTCACCCCCTATGACTTTTCACTGTAAAATTATTTTAAAACAAATTATTTTAGCATTTAATCTGCCATATAAACTAAATAATGTGTACTTCTCAGATACTGAACACAATTTTATGACATACACATGTTCTATAGTTTTTTTAAATTAATGAATTAGAGTTAAAAATCAACTAAGTAGAATGAGGCTACTTATACTGATTACCACGAACCTATCAATATTTTTCATTTTAGAAATATATTGAACATCAAAATAAAAGCTACCTATCTAACATTTACCAAAAGACAGCAGCCAAACCAACTTTTCAGAATTTTGTTTCACCTAGACTGATCTATATTCTGATAACTTATCTACTTAAAAGAAGTAAAAGGTACAGAAAAGGCAAAATATAACAGTAAGTACCTCATTTAACTTAAGTGTTACCCATTCTTTGATCTTAGCTGCTTTTTCTTCTATAATTTTAGCTTCTTGTATCCTTATTTGTTTCTGAAATAACATTATTTGTTTAGTTCAAATATAAGCTCACAGGTCTAAAAATGTCATATCATGCATAGAAAAAGGCAAATCCACTTAAAACCCATTTCCAGGTTAATACCTTGACCTTCAAATTACCAAATAGAGTAAAAAATGACAATTGTCCAACAGATACAATAAGAAACCATAATGGCATATGTGAATATTACTAGTTTTAACAATTGCTATTCTCTTTCTCTGAAAGATAATGTACTGAACTCCATCCTCTGAACTTTTCAACAAAAGAAACCATTTCTGAGAATGGTCTAGGGCAGTGGTCGGCAAACCACGGTTTTCGAGCCACATGCGGCTCTTTGGCCCCTTCAGTGTGGCTCTTCCACAAAATACCACGTGCGGGTGCGCACCTACAGTGCGATTGAAACTTCGTGGCCCATGCGCAGAAGAAGTCGGGTTTTGGCCTGGGTGAGTCTATTTTGAAGAAGTGGCGTTAGAAGAAGTGGGGGGTGTCCGGCGGTGGGGCAACGGGAGATGCGGCGCAGACGGGCCGCGGGATACGCAGCGCCGGGGAGGCGAGCACGATTCAGGCACGAGTTGAGTGAGACAGTCAGTCAGCAATCTCATGTGCAGTGGTTAGTGCTAGTCGCGTCCGCAAATCGCGTGCGGGTGACAAAAGTACCTACTCGAAGCATAAAGTTACCTGTATTTTTCCAACCAGCTGCAAATCCTACAGGTATTTTTGTCATCAATTTAAGAAT